GGGCCTCAGGCTCTTAAAGAGCTGAGAAGCCAGTCCAACGTCTGGAGCCATCACCAGGAAGCACATGACTACTGATAACATGAATGGCAGGGCTAATGAGGAACAGGGCAATTTAGAAGAGGATGAAGGAAGTAGGGCGTGCCCTTGTTAGTGACAGGGTTAAGGGAGGGCAGAACGCGAAAGGTGGGAGAGGGGGACGATGAGGGATGTAACTTGGCCATGGTAAGTTTGTGGCGACAAACTCAGTTTGCGGGTTTTCAAGCTGTGCACTTGGGGATGTGGAGCTTGAGCATTACTGTGGAGAGGAATGGGGGTCGCTGGCTCTCATCAGTCCCCCTTTCAGGAGGAGCTGAACTCGGTTCCCTGGGCAGAGGTGCAGTCCCGTCTCCTGGCGCTGCAGAGGAGCGGGGGCCTGTGCGTGCAGCCAAGGCCCCTGACGGAGCTGGACGTCCACCACCGCATCCTGCGCTACACCAACTACCAAGTGGCGCTGGCCAACAAGGGCCTGCTGCCGGCCCGCTGCCCATTGCCCTGGGGAGGCAGTGCCACTTTCCTCAGCCGCGGCCTGGCGCTCAATGTCGACCTGCTGCTTTTCCGCGGTCCCTTCTCGCTCTTCCGCGGGGGCTGGGAGCTGCCGCACGCCTACAAACGCAGCGACCAGCGGGGCGCCCTGGCAGCACGCTGGGGGCGCACAGTGCTGCTGCTCGCCGCCCTGAACCTGGCGCTGAGCCCGTTGGTGCTGGCCTGGCAGGTGCTGCATGCTTTCTATAGCCACGTGGAGCTGCTGCGGCGTGAGCCTGGGGCTCTTGGGGCACGCCGCTGGTCCCGCCTGGCGCGCTTGCAACTGCGCCACTTCAACGAGCTGCCACACGAGCTGCGCGCGCGCCTGGCGCGCGCCTACCGCCCCGCCACCGCCTTCCTGCGTACCGCTGCGCCCCCCGCGCCCCTGCGCGCGCTGCTGGCCCGCCAGCTAGTCTTCTTCGCGGGCGCGCTCTTCGCTGCGCTGCTTGTGCTCACCGTCTATGACGAGGACGTGCTAGCCGTGGAGCACGTGCTCACCGCCATGACTGCGCTCGGGGTCACCGCCACCGTGGCCAGGTGCGATGGCAGATGCCCGGGGTGGTGGTGTGTGACGACGGTTTCTCTGATCTGGTGCCATGTGAGGTTTCCCCCCTAATCCTTACCTCTCCCACCACCGGGGCCCTGTAACCCAGCATCCCGCCGCGCGTCTTCCTAACTGCAGGCCCCTTCTCCCCACGCATCCCGCCCTTCAGGTCTTTCATTCCCGAAGAACAGTGCCAGGGTCGTGCGCCGCAGCTCCTGCTGCAGACGGCCCTGGCCCACATGCACTACCTCCCGGAGGAGCCCTGCCCCGGCGGCAGGGACCGCGCGTACCGGCAGATGGCGCAGCTGCTGCAGTACCGAGCGGTGAGGGTCCGCGCAGGGCGGCGGGCTGCGGAGGAAGTTGGGTCTGTCTGCGCCTAGGGTCTGTCTGGGAGAGGACATGAAGCAAAAGGGCTACCCCAGGAGTCTAGGGAGTGACTGGGTGGGAGTCTTCTTGCCCTGGCCAGGGTCGCTGGGGGTTGCTTGGTCCTGATATCGCGGGTGGGACCCTCAGCGACCCTTGTTCAGCCTCACCGCTGCTTCCCCAGGTCTCCCTCCTGGAGGAGCTCCTGTCACCCCTCCTCACCCCGCTGTTTCTGCTTTTCTGGTTCCGCCCTCGTGCCCTGGAGATTATCGACTTTTTTCATCACTTCACTGTGGATGTGGCTGGGGTTGGGGATATCTGTTCCTTCGCCCTCATGGATGTGAAGCGACATGGCCACCCTCAGGTCAGAGCCGTGCCCTGGCCCTGCAGGGTTGGGCTGGGTGGGATTTTGCTTGCCTCTTGGGAGCAGACCTGGGTTCCAGCCCTGCCTCCGTTGCTTGCCACCTGTGCCCTTAAGCGAATCACTTCCCTTCCCTATGCCCTCATGCCCTCGTCTGTCAGATAGTGACAATGGCAATGTGCCCTCCAGAGCACAGCCGAGGCCAGGCTTGTGATGACACAGATAATGTCTGTGGAGCCCATAATGGAGCTGCTGGCATGTAGTAACATTAGGAAATGGGAGCAAAGAATCCCCTGGGGGCCGAGGAATGGGCTTGGCCCATGGGTGGGGCCGGACCAAGGACTGGTGGCTGGACCAAGGGTGTCAAGACCACCCTGGGCAAAGCACGGAGGCTCGGCCCTATCCCTGAGCTGGGTCTAGACCCTGGTTCTGCTCTGATGCTGTGGTTTTGGTGATGGCAAACAAGTCCCCATCATGCTCTGTTTCCCTCATATGGAAAATGGGGCCGTGTTTCCTGTCCCACCTAACGCCGTAAGCTGGATGTCCTTAGCACCTGAAAGGCTGTCCTTGTTCGCAGTGGCTCTCAGCAGGGCAGACAGAGGCTTCGCTGTCTCAGCGTGCGGAGGACGGAAAGACTGAGCTTTCTTTGATGCGGTTCTCCCTGGCGCATCCTCTCTGGCAACCCCCAGGGCACAGCTCCAAGTTTCTTGGGCATCTCCGGGGCCGGGTACAACAAGATGCAGCTGTCTGGGGCGCCACCTCAGCTCGCAGCCCCCGCACCCCGGGGGTGCTCAGCAACTGCACCTCACCCCTGGTGAGTCCCAAGCCTGGCCTCCCCTTCTGCCTTCGCCCCCCAACTCCTCCCCAAACCCTTCCCCTCTAGCCTCACCTTGGGTGGTAACCTGCCTCCCTGGCCCCACCCCCAGCCTGCTCTCCTGCCTTCTTTAGGCCTCCCCTGCCTCCCCAATCCCTTTCTGTCTTCTCTTCTGACTCCCTCTTTGGCTTTCCCTTCCCTCTTGCGCCCAGCCTGAGGCCTTCCTAGCCAACCTCTTGGTGCACCCTCTCCTGCCCCCGAGGGACCTGAGCCCGACAGCCCCCTGTCCAGCTGCGGCCACAGCCAGCCTCCTTGCCTCTATTTCCCGAATTGCCCAGGACCCCAGGTGAGGAGTGGAGGCTAAGATGCAGGGGTGTGGGGGGTGGGGCTGATCCTCTAGGAGGGAGGAGCTGGGCACTGTGGGGGGATTCAGAAGGGAAGCCCTCTGGCGTGTGGCGGGAGGAGGGTATGTCTTTTGACCTGCTTCATGCTGTGTTCCAGCTGCGTGTCCCCAGGAGGCACTGGGGGCCAGAAGCTGGCCCAGCTCCCAGAACTTGCTTCTGCTGAGATGAGTCTCCATGCCATCTACCTGCACCAGGTGAGCAGAGGGTGCCCGAAGGAGAAATGTGGGGAGAAAGCAGGTGAACAACATGGAGACTGAGGCAGGGGTGGAGTCCGAGGGAGGGCCTAGCACAGCCGCAGGAGGAGGCTGAAAAGCCTCTGCCTCTGGGGCCCTGCCCTCCTTCGGGGCTGCCCTCATTCCTCCTTTTCATGCAGCTTCACCAGCAGCAGCAGCAGGAGCCATGGGGCGAGGCTGCAGCCTCCGACCTGTCCAGGCCCTGCTCCAGCCCGTCACAGCCACCCTCGCCTGATGAGGAGAAGCCATCCTGGTCAAGTGATGGTGAGGAGGGTGGGGCCTGCAGGCGGCAGAGCCTGGTGGACACTAGGCATCCTGGCACTGCCCAGCTGATGGCCTTTGTCACCAGGCTCCAGTCCTGCCTCCAGCCCCAGACAACAGTGGGGAACCCAGAGGGCCCAGAATCTGTTTCCCAGACGGTTTCAGGTGACCAGAGACACCCAGAAGGAGCCTGGCCAGGCCTCTTGCACTGACTGAGAGGATTCCTCAGGGTCAGTATGGCCTCCTGTGAGGGGAGGGAGAGAGGGCTGCATAGACAATTGGTTTGGAGTCAGACTTGAATGGATGGGAGTGGTGGTGGGCATTCAGGGTGATGGGGGCAGTCATCTCTGGAACCTAGACCCCTGGACTGCTTGCCATGAGCCTTCTCCTCCCACAGGCGCCTTGGCTTCCGCAGCAACAGGAGATTGGAGGGTGGAGTAGAAGAACAATGGAGCCATCACTAGAGGCCCCGTAGATGACAGGCCCAGGTGTTTTAGTGGGGCAAAACCTGGGAGTCAGTGAGGAACTCGCCCCCAGAACAGAGAAAAGGTAGGAGAGGAGATGCTGAGGGCAACTGGAAACAACTCTTAGAGATGGTCCCCATCCAGAGGGGAGAAGGGGACACACTCGCAAGTGCAGCGTGTCCTGGAGCAGCTGCCTGGGAAGAAGTCCTCCAGTTTCCTCCAGGTGGGGGACAGAGGTCAAGGACTAGCCCGAGCTAAATGGAAGGGCGACAGTGAGAGAGGTGGGCTTTAAGGCCGTGGATTCGTTGTGCTGGTGGCCACCAGCAGCACTTTCAGGTTCCTGGGGGCTTGCAGGGGATGGGGACTTGGGAGTGGTGATGTTTTGGACTTCAGCATGGGTGTGGTATCTGAGGGAGTGGGTTGGCCCCCTGTGCTGTATGAAATAAGCAGTAAAGCTTGCTCATGGCTGTTGCACATCTCTGTGACTCTTGTTTCTGGCAGCCCCCACTTCTGGCAGCTGAGTGCTGCACTGCCTTCTCCATCATGAGCCTGAGACCTGCAGAGAAGAGCTGCCCAGACTCGCTGGAAACCATGTTTTAGAGTGCAGGGTCAAGTGGAGTGCAGGACTCCCTGTCAAAAGAATAACCCCTTCCCCTCCCCCCCACACAACTGCACGGGTTAAAACAGAAATCTTGTCATTTTATCATTGTAATCCACATGGGCTAGGTTAGGCGCTTTAGTAGTACTCATAACATCTGGCACAGTCTCTTAAATCTTCAATAATAAATACTTGATTTAGAGATTAGACTTTACAGGTAAGATACTCCTGAGAAAGGTAAGGGGAATCTAACATTCGCCTAAGAAACAGGAAGAGGGTAGGAGTCGGCCCTGGATACCGCTGCTGGAAGGGGCCTTCCAGATTTAGGCGGACCCGGGTGGGAGGCAGCAGGCCTAGAGAGGGAAAGAGGCGTTTTGCTCCTTCCTGGTGGAATAATGCTGAATCCTTGCAGCCTCTGGACAGATGTGGGAAGGCACCACCTCAAGAAGGGAGGAGCGGGGCTTGTCCTGGTCGGGCGGACCTGAGTGCGGCGGCCGCTCTCCAGGAACTGGAAGGGAAAGCCAGGTGGCTCTCAGGGGCCATTGGTGTCTGAGGCGGGCAGGTCGAACGCCCAGGGCACTGCGCCCCGCAACTGCCGCTCCTGCAAGGAAAAACTCTGGGTGCGTATGCGGCTTGTCACCTCCTGGGTGCGCAGCGTCAGCCCAAAAATGTCTTCGTGGTAGCGTTGCTGATCCTGTCGGGAAAGTGCGCAGTGGATGAGAACCCCAGTCGGAGACCTGAGCGGGAACCCCGCACGCCCTGGGCCTGGTCCCCGCCCTGGCTCGCCCCTCCGCACCCGCAGCACGCCGATGACATCGCCGGCCTCATCCAGCTCCATGTCGCCCTCCGTCGCCAGGATGCGCTGCACGGTCTGCAGGACGTTGGTTGCCATGGTGACATCGCCGCAGACAAACATGTGGCCCCGCTCAAGACACAGCACGCGGTGCACCTCCGCAGCCAGCTCGGTCCTTAGGATGTCCTGCACGTAGGTCTGCAGGGCGGCGGGGTTAGGACGGGTTCTGGTGGGGTGGGCGCGGGGGCGCAGCCTGGGGCTGCTGGCTGGCCCTGGTTGTGAAAGTCTCTGGAGCCCACCAGGTGGGGCCTGCGTGCCCTGGGTGGGTGTCTAGAGGGGCAGCGCCGAAGGGGAGGGGCTGGGGGCGGGGTGGGCCTAGAGGGGCCAGGGCACGAGGGTGGGCTGGAGTGCGTGCTGGTGGTTGAGTGGTCGTGGGAGGCCGCGGGAGGGCTCTGGTCGGTCATCCCCTCTTTCCCTATCTTCAGGTTACCATTGCGCCCTCAGGGTCTCATACCTTGGGATTGTCGGGTTCCCGGGAGAAGGCGGTGAGGACTCGGCCAAACACCCCGCGCTGCTGGGCGTCTTGCACTTCGTCGCGGTAGAGATGGTCAAGTTGGGAGCATCGGCAGCCGAACACCAAAGTCATGGGGGCGGGCTGCAGCCCTGCAAGCAACAGCGGCTTCGGAAGGCCCTTCTCCCAGGCACAGGGCCAGCAGTGCCTCCCCACTGGCCACCATCGCCCAGCCTGGCAGCCTAGCGTTTTGGGCTGAAGCCACCCTTACTTTGGCTGTTTCATCTCTAAGAGCGTGCAGAATGCTTTCACAGAGATCCTGCACATGCCTGATTTACAGAAGGAAGGGAAGCGCAGGTGAAGTGATTTCCTTCATGTAGGTGGCCCCTAGTGGAGCTGTGCTAGAATGTGTGGCTTAGGACTCAGAATTCTATGCCCTTTGCATTGTGTGACATTGCAGTCCCCTTCCTTGCTCCCACACCATATTCTCCCACACCATATTCTCCCACACTTTTAATTCTCCTCCCAGTCACAGCCCTCTTCTTTTGATTGACAGACTACCCTGGGCACCCCATGCTCAATCTGAACACCTTGGAGCATTCCCTAGGTCTTGGACGGACCCTGGTCAGCTCTGGCACAGTCCAGAATTCACCTCGGGCAGTTCTTCTTTGAGTCTTAGCCCTATCCCTTCCAAAATTCGATTTTCCTTTGTCCATAATCCAGTCAACACCTACTATGTGCCAGGCACCAGGCAGGCAGACACACAGGGCCCAGCCCTTGCCTCAGTACCTACCCTCCCCTCCATCTCTTGAGCATCTTTTCAGCTTCGTGGCCTCCATTTCCTGCCCTGTCTTTCCTATCTGTTTCTTGCCTTCCAGCCACACCCCTCTAAGCAGTCCTCTAGTCCCCAGCCTCACCTTTGCTCTCAATGTCATGCAGCCGTTCCTGCCAGAATCCCCGGAAGGGGGCAATGCCAGTGCCTGGGCCCACCAGGATGCAGGGCAGGCTGGGATCGGGCGGCAGCCGGAAGGAGGGAGCCCTAGCAGGAGAGATACTCCATCAGGTCCCCTTTGCCTTCCCTGCTCCCCTGTTCTCACCATGCAGGGCGGGTGGAGCCAGGAGAACCCAAGCTCTCCTGATAAATGAGGTGATATTTGTGAAGTCCTTAAAGCAGCGTTTGGCTCATAGTAAGCATGATGGGTTTATTAAAAGAACTCTGGGCTCATGTCTGTAATCCCAGCACTTTGGGAGGCTGAGGTGGGAGGATTGCTTGAGCCTGGGAGTTTGAGAGCAGCCTGGGCAACATAAAGAGACTTCCCATCTCAAAAAACAAACAAACAAAAAAAACCTCTGTTTGCTGAAACTCCTTGGATCTGCAGTTTCTGGAGATTGTGCCAAAGGAAATATAGTTCATTTTGGCTTGAAGAATACTCAGATGACTCAGGGGATTTAGAAAATGTGGGGAGAGTGAAAGACATACTTTCAGTTCATTATGGATTCACAGAGTGCATTTATTTTAAATGCCCTTAATAGTGGTATTTAGTTTATGTTCAGTAGATCGGTACAGTTTATCTGCAATTTAGCTGCCTGGGTGGATTGGAGTCACCAGGCCCAGCTGATGTCAGCCTAGGAACTATTCTCAGTCCTACCAGGACTTTTGGTTCCTGGCTGTGAGAGAGAGTAAGACTTCTGGACACAGCATGAGGGGAGGGTCTCTTAAAGTCCTTCACCTTCGGGCTGGGTGCAGTGGCTCACACCTGTAATCCCAGCACTTTGGGAGGTCGAGGCAGGAAGATCATGAGGTCAGGAGTTTGAGACCAGGCCAACAGGATGAAATCCTGTCTCTACTAAAAATACGAAATTAGCCAGGAGTGGTGGTGCACTCCTGTAATACCTGCTACTCGGGAGGCTGAGGTAGGAGAATTGTTTGAATCTGGGAGGTAGAGGTTGCAGTGAGCTGAGATTGCACCACTGCACTCCAACCTGGGTGACAAGA